ATACTGATACATAATTTGTTTTTTTAAAGTGATTTTCAATGCATATGGATAGCACTTGTGATATGAAAATTTAACCTGATAAAACTCATGCACAAGTATTTATTCATGGCTTATTACCTCCGCCACCGAAAGTGACTGAGGTTATGTTTTCATCCCCTGTTTGTGCGTTTGTAAGCAAGATTTCTCGAAAATGGCTCAATGGATTTGGACGTTAGTTGGTATACAATTGGACTATGGTCCAACTTAGAAGTGATTAGTTTTTGTAGGGGCAAGATGACAGCAAGGTCACGAAAATCCAAAAAATCCTTATCCGTTAAAAATGGGGACCGATTTTTTATACTATTTTTGCTCGATAAATCAGCCAAAATGATCGAATTTTGTTGAAACTTTGTGAACATATGTAGAATATTATTCCTCATTGTCCTGCCCAAAAATCTGTGTCCCTTGATAAAGACGGATATATACGGATACATTTTCGTATTTTTTTATAGCTAAATATGATCAACGCTGTGTGGCGGAGGTATGCGTTTTACGGGGTGCCCCTTTGGTTGCTTTGTGGTTTTATCAATTAAATTGTGCAACAACAGCTTGTAAATATAAATATACTTTACTGGGACGACTGTGAGCAACAGTCTTGATAAAGCACCTGGGACTTATTCTCAACAACTAAGTTACACAGCCATTTCAACTACAGTTACTGCATTTTCAAGTTACATTAATAAAGTTAATGTAAAATCTTGAGTAGAGCCATCGAGGTTAAAATCAACAACTAAGTTACACAGCCATTTCAACTACAGTTACTGCATTTTCAAGTTACATTAATAAAGTTAATGTAAAATCTTGAGTAGAGCCATCGAGGTTAAAATCAAATTCAGAGGATCTCTAACTTTGCTATAGGTACAGTATTATTTTATAAAACATGTATATGGAATTAAGAAGAAAATATATCTAAATCACGTTGATTGGTGTGAATTCAGTTTAATAGTTGCCCACCAAAATTAGAGGTATCTGTAAAAATATCAATGTTTGGTTGCATTGTTTCATAACGTCCAAGTTTAGTGAGTCGTATATTCATTAACGTAGCAGTGAAAAATATAAAATTTCAGAGTATAGAACTACACAACACTAAACACTCTGATAAAGAAAAAACAATATTATAAAACAGCACTTACAGACATCTAACACCTGACAGAAAAATGACAGAACAGAGAGAGAGAGAGAGGGGTAATAATAATAATAATATTAACTTCCGATCTGAGTAAGCTATGTACTTAGAGCGAAACTAAAAACCAATGTATAACTAAGTAAATATAGGTTTCTACTTGTAAAGATTAAAATGCATTGTTTCTTCAGGGGGTACCCTCACTGTTAACAATAATTTCGCCCATAATCGGCCAGCGTAGGCGACTTAGGTTAGTTTTATATACAAATTTTGTTATGGATAAAACAAACCACACGATATCCAATACTCTGATAGGAAGATGACAAAGAGTGAAGTAATGTTACGGCTAAAACAAATCCCGTGATATCTGATACCCTTACAAAGAAAAATGTACTTTTACAGATAAATGAACTACCAGACATCCCACCTCTAATGGAGAGAAATCTTATGCTATAGAAAGTAACGTCTCACAACATCCAATACTCTCAGAGAGAAAAATACAATATTAAAGAAAGAGTTATCACACGATATCATCCTTTTAAAGAGAATATAATGTTACACGGAAGCAACCGCGCGAATAATTTGATAAACAGAAACGTAATATTAGAGAGAGAAGTTACAGTAGATTCAGTATTACAGAAACAGCTACTAAATTATGGTAGTTCTCCCGTCAGTTTGTAGAAGACAGTATACAAGAACATCAAAGTTCCTTTCCATCAGCTCTATATTAAATAAGCTAAATTACAAATATCCACTGTGGAAGAAATTAATGTATTTTTCTGCGTGCATTTAAAGAAATTTCTTCAGTCGGTTATAATTCTTCTGGGGAAATGATAGTATTATGATTCTTTGTCAAATGAAGTATTTCTTGAAACATTTTATCAGTTTGTGTTTGAATACCAAAGAAATAATCACCTGACATTGGTTTTGAATGACAGTATTATCAACGTTTTCTCAATCTTATCTCTGTGCAACCTTTTCCAAAAGCATGAGAAAACATGCTCGACAGATTAGAGTTAATATATTTTTTTCATTTTATCACGTCTCTTAAGTTACTAAATATATATTTATCTTCTTAACATTAATGCCTTATCTGATTAATCTAAATGTCTATTCGGCTTATTCAAAATAACTCTTGACTATTCTTGTAAGCCTTTAATACCTTCTATAACTATAGAATTATACTAATAAAATATTATTATTTAGACTTTTTCTTGCAGAATATCGTTGTCACCATAATTCCTTGTCACATTTTGCAGAAGGAAATCAGTTACATGCTTTAAATAATCATTAATCTCGTACAAGAAAATAATATTCTACATGATAACACTTACGTAATGAGCATCATCTTCTTCATTATATGCAAGTTTAACGATGCCATAAGAACCCTAAAGAAAGAGAAAGGCGTAGGTAGTATTCTTGCATTAATATTTACTTCTCATTTGATTAATATTTAAATCAAATTTTTTCAAGCTTTATTGTTCTTTTTCTTTTATTGTAACGAAAGATATAATGCTTGTTATTTTATTAATGTATTGTTCCGGTACTTTCATGACGTCTGTTTGTTTGTAAGATAGAAAGTTTCTCTTTTTTGGGTTATATTGAAAATCTTAGTTCTAACAACAAATAAGATTTTAGTAACATCTTAGTCACTTCTGTCACCATTTGAGTAATCGTTAAAAAACTTAAAACTTACATCAATACTTGTTCTCATTAACTAAGTTTTCAAGTAAGAGTGAAATGAGTTATAATTTCTCGTTCTGTAATGTAATTCTCCACTGCAGTCTTGTTTAAATATAAAGTATTTTGTCAAAATCAAGAATTTTCCTTCAAATTCAGAGGATCTCTAACTTTGCTATAGGTACAGTATCAAATTCAGAGGATCTCTAACTTTGCTATAGGTACAGTACTTAAGTTCAAATAAACTTTTTCTTCGTTTGCACCCCAAAAATGTCCCTAAAGAAGCACAACATCCTCAATATTTCAAAATTATTACCTATTTGTAACACGCGACCAGTGAATTTTATGTTGAACTAATCACCAGTCAATTGATTTTTGTCCAACACCTGGTTCTATCCAAATGACATGAAAATGGGTTGTGGGAGATATTGTCACACCTCCAGTAGTTGAGAAAATAATATGGATTTTATACAAAACCTTTGGGTTTATATGAAGTTCAGCATTCAGAATCCCCATCTTGAAAATCGGTTCTTGTTTGTTTGTTTTAGAATTTTGCCCAAAGCTACATAAAAGATATCTGCGTATAGCTGTACCTAACGATATGTGGCCAAGCAGTGGGATTTTACCGTCGCTCTTGGGTCGAACACACGGCCCCCAAAGCGCCAAGTACGTTTTTTCGACAGCGGGTCACGGTGCGAGCCATGAATCACTAGTCACAGTTCAAGCACGTTAATATTACGCCAAGCGCGCGCCTCATTATAAGCATATAATTAAAAAAATGATTAATTTTATGCAAAACGTTTTCAATAAATGTATATTATGCGCACGTGCCCATACAGCATCAGCTCGCTTCAACATCAACGGTAAGTTGACGATAATTTTGACTGTCAAAAAAGCGGTATAGGACTTGAAGATGTAATGTTTAGGTAAATAAAATTCTAGAACCAAAAAGGTAGCAAAAAATTGATAATCTACAAAATATGATAAACTTACCAAACATCCCGGCTCTTTTCATTAGCTTCTTTTTAGACAAGATTTTCATAGCCTAAAATATATATATATAGATATATATACAACATATTATACAACATTATTCCTCTTTTCTCTCTAGTGTAGTATATTATACAACATTATTTCTCTTTTCTCTATAGTGTAGTGATATTATACAACATTATTTCTCTTTTCTCTATAGTGTAGTGATATTATACAATATTATTTCTCTTTCTCTCTAGTGTAGCATATTATACATTATTTCACGTTATTTGGTACCTGATGATGACAAAACCTTGTCGAAACGTTGTACATTTGCTGTTATGTTAAACTTATATTAAAGCTTTTCTGCATTACCCATTCAAGCCATCTCCAACCGTTATTAGTCTCAAAATGGGTTCCTCGTCATCGAACCTACTTCTGTACTCCATCATGCCTAGGTGACCTTTCGGGCGCGTACTATCCCCCCCCTGGTAAGGGGTTAAGACATACAGATAAGGACTCCCCTCCCCCTTCCTGACACCTCTTGTTCGCCTGCCAAGTGTTTGGTTCTGTAGCTCCAAAATTGTTGGAGCTGTTCGCAGACAAACAAACGAATTTAAAAACACACAACATGAATTAATACAGGATGCGTAACGCTATGTTATTCTAAAATTAATATAAATAAGTTTATTTTTCTTACAGTTACACAGTTTTTAAAACAAATAATCAAACCACATTAAGAAGATGGTTCCACTCGATCTTGCTAATGAATGTAGGATGAAAGTATCACTTCTAGTCATTATTTGCATTTATATTGCTATTGAAATAGAAACTGTAGAAGTGGGTTTGATCAAACCAACTTAATGTGTGTAATACCTATCTGTGAAGCAGCTTAGTACGCAAAATTACCTATGCTGTTAGGTGATTAATTAACCACAGTGTTGTTAAGGTCGGAAATATACAAGTAATAATTTGTACTAAGACACTTGTATAATTATACGGGAAGTGTTAACGTGAGATTGCTTTTAATGTAACTTTAAACAATCTGGACTAATATCCTAAAGATAAATCATGTTGCTAATAAAAAACAACAGATTTTTTTCCTGTTTGCTAGACTTTTATGGAAACAACAAAAATCACTTGTATGGTTAAGGCCATGTGCAGGCTAAACAAAATCGCATCACTTTTAAGGAACAACTACTATATAAGTAGTCCAATTGACTTTCGTGTTATCACGTCCATTATAATAAAAACAAAACCACTTAAAGCGAATTAACGTAACAGATGCACGGTAAAACTATTAAAAGGCCTTAAAATACACCACGCTTTAAAGTTACGGTTTTGAGTGCCAAAAGATGGTGAAGCATTATAAACCAACACTTCTAACACTTGTGATAAAAATCCGTTAGTCTTGGTTCGTCTTGAACTTTGCGCAAAGCTACTCGGGGGCTACTTGAGCTAGCTTTCCCTAATTAAACAGTGACAGACTAGAAGGAGGGCAACTAGTCAACATCACCCACCACCAACTCTTGGACTACTCTTTTAACAACTACGGAATAGTGGGATTGACCGTCACTTATAACGCTCCACGGCCGAAAGGGTAAGCGTGTTCGATAACAGAGATTCAAACCCACGACCCACAGATTGCGAGTCGAACGCCCTAACCACTAAAAATCAGTTAGTTTACAAATTTTTCTTTTTTATCTTTTTTTTCTTTTCTCGGATTCTTCTTACTTTGACTTGTGAGAGACAAAGACAGATCGGAAGTGGTATTTTCATGCACCTGTAATTTATAGTTATGAAGACCAAACTGAGAAGCACTTTTTGTTTATTTGTTTATAGTTAAGCACAAAGCGACACAGTAGACTATCTGTACTGTGCTAACTACGGATATAGAACCCCATTTTTTAGCGTTATAAGCCTTCAGAACTTACAGCTGAGCCACTAGAAACAGGGTAATGTGAAATAAATAAACAAGTAAGACATCTATAATCTAACATGAAGTTAAGTATCTACTATACATATTTTCAAATAATTAAAGTTATAGAAAATATTTCGTGTATCTGTTTGTGAAATTATATAACCAAATAAATCACTTACCCTTTCTCTAGAAGTTCAAAAACTAAAAAGAAAACAAAAAACGAGAATTAGCGATATAATCCAAGAAGGTAGAGTAAAGAAACATTTCTGGTTAACCTTTCTTACTCATTCTCATAAAACTCCTTTAAAAACTATTTTTATACAAACTATTTCCAATCAACGGATAACGGCACGGTAAAACAGACGGAAAATGGAGTAATACATTTCCCAAGCTCCATATAAAACCTTTCCCAAATGTAACGTATAATGTTATCGACAAGTTACCTTAAAAACGTCGTTCATATAACTAGAATTGCCATCACCTGGTAAGTAATCTGGAGATCACTAAGCCACTGAGAACCGTCTACTGAATATTAGCATATTGATGGAAACACTCCTCCAAGCAGGGGGTATTTAATCAACTGGCACAACACCACACCCACATGTCTTCTGAAGATGGATTGCTCGAGGACAGCCAGAAAATGTGCGAAAATCCAAAATAAGACTAATACTATTCAAAAGTTAAGATAAACGTAAGTGTTAGCCTTTAAATAATCAAATCACGATAATTTTAATATGCGAAAATCCAATATAAGACTAATACTTTTCTAAAGTTAAGATAAACGTAAGTGTTAGCCTTTAAATAATTAAATCACGATAATTTTAATATGCGAAAATCCAATATAAGACTAATACTTTTCAAAAGTTAAGATAAACGTAAGTGTTAGCCTTTAAATAATTAAATCACGATAATTTTAATATGCGAAAATCCAAAATAAGACTAATACTTTTCAAAAGGTAAGATAAACGTAAGTGTTAACCTTTAAATAATTAAATCACGATAGTTTTAATATACATGGTTTGTTCGAATTTATGCACAAAGCTACACAATGGGCTATCTGTGCTCTGCCCACCACGCGTATCGAAACCCGGTTTCTAGCGTTGTATAATATACCTGGAAACAAACTGTGTTATCCAATGTCTTCACACTACTAATAAAAACTAATAATGTTGTTTGACTTGATTACACTAGAGGGAAACAACAAATAATAGTATCTGATGACTCCATGCTTGCACAAAAAACATATATTACCATCTGATGTGACTACACTACGAAAAAAAAGTAATAATATTTGGTGCAACCATGCCTCAGACAAAAAAAAAACATATAACGTCATCTTATATGACTACACAACTGAAAAAAAACATATACTAATACTTCATGACACCATGCCTTGGGAGACAAATCATGTTATTTGATGTCACTGAACTACTGAGAAAAAACAAGTTGTAGTGCTTGATGATACCATGACTCAAACAAAATACACTTATAATGCCATCTGATGTGGCTACACTACTGAAAATAACAGAAAAACAAGGAGTAATGGTATTTGAAGGCACCATCTCTTGGACAAAAAAACAACAAAAAACAATAAGTCATCTGATATGACTACACTACTGAGAAGAAACAACTAATGGTAGTTGAAGGCACCATCTCTTGGACAAAAAAACAACAAAAAACAATAAGTCATCTGATATGACTACACTACTGAGAAGAAACAACTAATGGTATTTGAAGGCACCATCTCTTGGACAAAAAAACAACAAAAAACAATAAGTCATCTGATATGACTACACTACTGAGAAGAAACAACTAATGGTATTTGAAGGCATGGTGTCTTGGCAAAAGAAATAAATCATGTTACTGATGTGACTACACTGCTGAAAAAAATAAATAACAATATTTCATGACACCATGCCTCAGTACAAAAATATGTTATCTAAGGTGATTACACTACTGAAAAAAAAATCAATGTCTCAGACATAAAAACAAATAATGTTATCTGATGTGATTACAGTGCTGAAAAGAAAACAAGTAGTAATATCTGATAATACCATGTCTCAAAAAATCTTCTTATTTGATGGGACTACAATCCCCCCCCCCCAAAAAAAAACCAACAACAACAGGTGACAATATTTGACAACACCTTGCCTCAGTAACAAAAAAAAAACATATACTTCCACATGATGTAACTACGCTACTGAGAGAAAAGCAAATAAGGTATTTGATGGCACTGTGCTTTGGTAAACAAAATCATGTTATTTAATGTGATTACTCTAGTGAAAAAAAAGCAGGTAGTAATATTTGAGGACACCATGCCTCAGACAAAAAACATGTAATGTCATCTGATGTGACTACAATATTGAGAAATATAATTAATAGTATTTGATTATATCATGTCACAGAAAAAAAAAACAGATCATATTATCTGATGTGACTATACTACTGCAAAGAAAAGTAATAGTATTTGATGACATTATGTCTTGAAATAAAAATATAATCTCACATGATGTCAATACAATACTGAGAAAACAAAAATAAATTTTATGTCTTAATGAATTGTTTTTATATTTGATGTCACTATAGTACTGAGAAAAAACAAATATTGGTCTCTGATGACACTGCACAATTGAAAATTTTAACAATAATATTATTACCTTATGTTACTACATTATAGAGAAAATAAAAAAATATGGTATTTTATGTCATTACACCAGTGAGAAAATATGTATTTGATATTACCTTTGAAGAAACAAGCTTATCTGTTTTACTACACTATGGGGGGAAAACACAAATAATGTTCTCTATTTTCATTACAAAGAAGAAAAAAAAATGTTATCTTATGTTACTAAACTATGGAAAAGAAGTGAAATAATTTTGCCTCATGTTACTGCACTATAGAGAAAAGAGAAATAAGGTTGTATAGTATACTACACTATAGAGAAAAGAGAAATAAGGTTGTATAATATCACTACACTATAGAGAAAAGAGAAATAAGGTTGTATAATATCACTACACTATAGAGAAAAGAGAAATAATGTTGTATAATATACTACACTATAGAGAAAAGAGAAATAAGGTTGTATAATATTACTACACTATAGAGAAAAGAGAAATAAGGTTGTATAATATCACTACACTATAGAGAAAAGAGAAATAAGGTTGTATAATATCACTGCATATAGAGAAAAGAAAACAATGTTGTATAATATCACTACACTATAGAGAAAAGAGAAATAATGTTGTATAATATACTACACTAGGGAGAAAGAGAAGTAATGTTGTATAATATCACTGCACTATAGAGAAAAGAGAAATAAAGTTGTACAATATACTACACTAGGGAGAAAGAGAAATAATGTTGTATAATATTACTACACTATAGAAAAAAGAGAAATATTGTTTTATGATGTCATTAAATTAAGAATAAGCAAAATAATGTTGTCTTGTGTGACTACACTATGGAGAAAAGAGAAATAATGTTGTCTTGTGTGACGACATTATGGAGAAAAGAGAAATAATGGTACCTTATGTAACTACATTATGGAGAAAAGAGAAATAATGTTACCTTATGTAACTACATTATGGAGAAAAGAGAAATAATGTTGTCTTGTGTAACTACATTATGGAGAAAAGAGAAATAATGGTACCTTATGTAACTACATTATGGAGAAAAAAGAAATAATGTTACCTTATGTAACTACATTATGGAGAGAAGAGAAATAATGTTATATCCTGTCACTACACCACACTAAAGAAGTAAAGCAAATAATGATTATCAACTCTTTGGAATAAAATATATTGATAAATTAAATAGCTGGTGAGCAAATACTATGTGCCAATATATGCATATAGTTCATGACACATACAGTGTCATATGTATCACTATACATGCACAGTCATATATTTAGTACATGTTAAGAAACCTAAAGTGTTGAACCTAGCTGGAAAGCTGAATAGATTTAAAAGTGTGTGTACCTAAAAGCAACACTAAACTGTTTTTTACAGTTAAAGCCATATAAATTTTCACTTGGTGACTATCTCTGCCCAAATATCCATTTCTCATCTGAATTACCTGTATCTGAGCAAATGAGCACTACCTGAAACTCCATTTCTCATCTGACTCACTGTGACGGATTTACTATTATATATTTATTCTAATATCGATATTTATATTTAGAAATGTACATAACTTATACTGTTAAATCTGTATTATGAAATTCCCGCCTATTCTCTAAAGTCGTAGAAGATTCTAGAGTGTAAGAATCAACAATATATGTGTGTACGTAAACGCAAGTGTGGCTTTGTATTGTTACGTAACCTGAAGTTTCGAGAATCTCTCCACACGCCTATAAATATAACCAACGTGATGCGCGAAAAACAGTATATGTTACTGTTTTACTGTAGTTGGTGTGCTATAAACTTCAGAAGCTATAACTGTGATTGTTATAACACTTATTAATTGGGAAACTTAAGATATTTGACCAGGAACACTTATAAAGTTCGAACATTACAAACATTACATTCAGTGGATTCAAATCAGACATTAGTGCTTTTTACGAAAACATTACTTAACTTCATGGGTGGAAAAAATCGGCGTGTGATCAGTGAATACCACAAAACTAGCTAGCTCCCTATTAAGTGAATTGTACCTACGTCAACTTGAAATTAACTCGCTCATCGTGAACTCTCGATAAGATTTCAAGGAAGTTCCAGACTAGAAAGAAGACTTTGTATTGCTTGTAAGTTTGTAAAACTTTTGTACATAAATCATTGTTTGTAATAACTGTTATTGTAAATTGTGTTATTGGTTGTATATTTAAAAATATTTGTATTAAAAAAGAGAACTGTGTGTATCAATCTTGTTTATAAATATCCTAAATTGGATACATATCGGTATTTATTTAACTACTAAATCCAAAGTACAATTTAACTCGGTTTTAGATTATTTGAAATTGTAATACGTAACAACCACCTATATCTGAGCACTTCCCGAATCTTCATTTCTCATCTGAACAGGTGAGCACTGCCTGAAACTCTATTTCTCATGTGAACCACCTATGCCTTACAAGTGAACACTGCTCAGATCTCCATTTCTCGTTTTAAAACACCTATATCTTAGCAAATGAGCACTCCCCGAAACATTTCTCATCTGACGATGTTAAGGATATTGTTATTTAACGTGACTTTATGTTTTAATTTTACAATATTTACACGAATATATAAATGCAGATCAGAAAGAATATATAGCACAATGACATATAATTTAACTTATACATACAAGTCAAAATTAAGCAAAGGTACTTCCGAGGAAGGAAAAAAAAAGGAGGAAATAAACTGATTCTGAGCGTTAGTTACAAGCCGAGCTAGAGAGATTTGCCTAATTCCGTCTCTTTATTAAACACTGAAAACCTGGCTAACGCAATGGGTTAACTTATCTTAGGGATAAGAAGAATTGCAGGTAAGAATCTCATCCGTTTTGAATTTTCACTTTGTTTTTGTTTTTGGAAAAAGTTCTAACAACACACATTGACAACAGTACTGTTAGATCTTAGCATCGTTACTTTTTGTACAGAAATTTTATTTCCACAAGTTTTTTATTCAAGTATTACTTTTGTTTTCAAAGCTTAAATTTCCGGTCTACCTCTTAGAATTAAACCAAACTCGAGTTGTTTAAAATTATTATTTTGGTAATTGTAGCAATTGTTTAGCTTCAACTGTTTTTAGTATCGAGGAACTTCCCACCTGTGTAGTAATGACATAAAAACTGAATATTTTATAATAAGTGATTTCCATATATATATAAAAATATATATTTGTAAAATAATGCGCCACCACACTACGTACGGTAATTTTGAAGTTTTTAAATAGTAAAGTTTTATATTTCAACTTAAAACTCAGTAAATAAAACCATTAAGTCAAAGCTAATGCTGAAAACGTGCTATAAAATCATTTGAAATATAGCACATTGCTTAATCACCACTTACCCATATACAGATTGTCGTCATCAGGATCATCAAGGACCTGAAAATAAAAACATACTGCGGTGAAGTTAGCAGTAGCATTATTTCTTTGAGTGCTAAATCTTAGAAAACAGCAAATATTTATTTGACATTTTTATGCTTCAAAGTCATTCGATAATTGCGTATACAACTGATTTTAAAATACACAGTCTTCTCACAATCAAGAAATTAATTATTTGTTACACAGTCCTCAATAATGTAATGGCTTGTTACGCAATCGTACGATCTCTCTCTCTCTCTCTCTATGTACCATATCCAGACAGGACGTTGTTGACCATGGTCTTCCACAGATCTCTTCTCCTTGAGCATAAAAAAATTTCCAAAATCGTACGATAGTCAGGGAAATAACGGTTTGTTACACAGTAGTCCGACAGTCAAGGAAATAATGGCTTGTTGCATAATCGTCCGACAGTCGGAGAAATAACGGTTTGTTACATTCATTTGTTTGAAGTTAACCACAAAGCTATCTGTGCTCTGCCCACCACTGGTATCGAAACTCGGTTTATAGCGTTGTAAAGCCGCAGGCATACCGTTGTGCCACTGGAGGGGCCGGTTTGTTACACGTTCGTCCGACAGTCAGGGAAGTTATAGGAGGTATGAAAAATGTACACAAAAAATACCTTTCTAAATAAGTCAAATATATATTCTATCTAATTCTAAGAAAAATTTAACTTTCACAGGAATGTTGAAATTAGAAGACAAAATTACCTTTCACCTTTATAACTTTTGCCAAGTCACAGATACTGTATTAATATGCTTAAAGTATAAGGGCCTTTAATCGTTGGATTTTGATTGTTACTGTTATATACATTTGTAAATATAATCTCTAGAAGTGTGTACCATATATACATAATATACAAATATTTGTTTGGGTTTAGTTATTTGAGAGCAAAGCCACATTGGGCTTTCTGCTGTGCCCATCGCGGGGAACCGAACCCCGAATTTTAGCAATGCAAATCCGTAGACATATGTGGGACATTAGAATCAAACTAAGCATGACAGTAACTGATTAGCTAAACAATCCAGTATTCTGGGTGAACAGTAACTTTATATTATAGGTTTGAAGACTGACACTTATATTTGTGAAATAACATGAAAAGATAGATTTTTGTTATATATATATAACAATCTCGTTTGGATTATACGAAATACCCGTTCAAATATTTTGTACATATAAAAAGTAAACGTGTTTACCATTTTTAAAATAAACTATAAATGTTTTTTGTAAAGCACAAAGCTAGATAAATAATTATCTGTGCTCTGCCTACTGCGTGTATCTAAACCGCTTTACCGCTGAGCCAACGAACGTGTAATATGTGTATCACAAACTTGATACTTGTATACACACAAAGTGTCTGTGACACAAGTTGTAACAAAATTGAAGCAACTTATAAAGAATTTCAAGAATACTACACGAACTTGAAGCAGTTTAATTATTTTATACCAAACGTGGTCCCACTGTAAAATTACAAAGTATCATCCAATTTTAAGTGCGTGGCATGAGTTTTTTTATGTCTTAGCACAACATTTCTTATGTTTTCACTTATAACAAGAAGGAATCCTCAATAGCCGCAGTAATTGAAATTCTTTTAGGTAGAATTAGAGTAAATTAATCTACGAGGCCTTTATTTCCTTTTTCATTATCTATATTTTAGTGCTCCAGCAATACAAAGCGTGGGGCGCGCGTATACCCGATTCGATTTTATTATTCATCAGAATCTCTAGAAGCCTACCCTCAACTTGTAATTCTTTTAGGCAGGCTTAGAATAAATTAATCTGTAAGACCTTAGATGTGGTGAAATGCATCATTCAAAAGGGTTTTGACCTCCTAAGTCTCCAAAACTGCAATTAGATCTCAAATCGATGAAGAGACGACGGAGCTATGAGCTAAAAGTTTCTTCTTGGAAAAAAAAGAAAAAGCAAATAAAACTCAGATCCGTACCATGAGCAGGTCATCCGCAGCTAAAACTTAGACCGCATTGTTTCATCAGTTCGGTACTCTCACTGCTAACGATATGATTCAGAAGAAAATATCTAAAGTTTGAACATTTTACTTATAAAGTGACACTAAAACAATAATAAAACAACTGTTTGGGCATACTGTATTACTTTTAGCTTAAATGATTCAGACGAAACTATGTTTAAAGTTTGAATGCTTCAGATTAATATGGAATACAAACAGTCCATTTCAATACTATCGCTTTGTAAGATAAACTAACGTACAGTCATATATGTAAGATATTATTTTTATGTGATGCTTACGATATATATATATATAGGGTTTGAATATTTTACATTACTGCAAAAAATAGTTCTCTAGGTAGATTATGAATAATAAGTTCTGATCAGAGTAAGCTATGTACTTAGAGCGAAACTAAAAATCAACCTGGCCATCAGTATAGCTAATTAAATACAGATTTCTTACGTGTTTGCTTATAAAGATTAGATTGTACTGTTTCATCGGTTGGGTAGCGTCATTGCTAATGCTATGGCTCAGAATAAAATATTTAGTGTCTGAACATTTTTACGTATAAAGCGACACGAAATAGTTCTTTTCAGGATGACATAGAATGTAGGTTAAATCAGTGTAGGGAAATGCATATGATGCCCAGGATAAAGATATGGAGCTGTATAAAGCTGGACTGTGTATAGATGGACGTTACACCACGACGTTTATAGATTTGAGTTGTATATCACACTGCAGCATGTGCATAGGTGGGCAGCACAGCATCACACCACAGACTGCCCCCGCCCCACACACAAATATACACTGATGCAGTTCCTTTTGCATCAATATAGGGGCTCTAACCACTTGGGTTTGTGTACAGACAGACAATACAGTGCGGTTTGTATGTAAACAAACATCAGAACACAGCCTACATAAAACTGGATTTCGGAACATACAGGCATCACACCGCGGCTTGTATAAAGCTGGACGTTACACCACGACTTTTATATATTTGGGTTGTATATCACACTGCGGCTTGACAAAGAACAGCCCAAGAGATGGCGGTGAGTAATGTTTCCTAGCAGCCTTCCTTCTAGTCTAAAAATTAAAAATGAACGACAGCTAGCGCAGATAGCGCTCAAGTAGCGAAATTCAACAAAACAAACATTTTTAACCTGACTTACTTGTACTGTATTCCAAACGAGTAACTTCATATAAATCTTACAAGAGAGAAATCACATGGATATAACATGCATTACCTCAATCAGCTTGACTATGTTTGGGTGATTCAACTTCTTTAAGATCGCAATCTCCCTGTATATCTGCACCAATGGATGAGGGACTTGTCGTCTTCCATCACGACCCGGTGGTTGTCGACCTTTATACAGTAAAGGTATTCTTAACCAAATAATATTAGTTTAACACATTTTAACAACCCATGATATTTAAAGTGATCTAAAATTCATACAAGAACGAGTTGTATAATTTTATCAAATACTGTTAATGTACTGAAACGTATATAATTAAGAATAACAAATATGAAAATTCTAACAAATATCGAACTGTATTTTAGAGGACCATTTTGAAAGCTATGACGTAACAGATATCACCATTTTAAATGTGAATATCATAGTTCGGTATTTTGATGGAGAAGAAATCTTTATTTCTACACTGATCAAATTTCTTGTGGGTTTTCCTGACCTCCTCATGAGTAATATGTTACTTTTGTTTCTATTTTACCAAATAGTGAAGTGATAGTTGTACTTGATACAAGAAGATAATAAGGCTTAGTATGTGACTCAGGCTCTTTTGGAGATGGCTTGAATGGGTAATGAAGAAAAACTTTAATATAAGTTTAACATAACAGCAAATGTACAACTAATAATTGTTGGAGACGGCTTGAATGGGTAATGAAGAAAAACTTTAATATAAGTTTAACATAAGCCAATATTAGCCTCAAAGTGGGTTCCTCTTCATCGAATTTGAATAACTCCTAATATGTTTTGTGTATGTTCCCAAAATTTTGCAAGCTTTCAGTAAGCATTAAGTCTTTTGTAAACAAAACATTATAATTTTTTATACAGTATATTCACTAAAAATATCTCCATGAATATATGGAACCAAAGTATTGACTGTCCAAGTGCAAAGTGATCTTCATGTTAATATTAATAATACTTTTCTTCATATGAAAATTTTCAAATTTCATTTGCATAATTTCTAAAATCTCCTAAATAAATTTCAAATTTTTTTTTGAAGAAAACTTTATATTTTGTCTTTTATTTCCTCTATGCTAACACTATACAAAGTTGTTCAATTTGATTGACCTTGTAACTAAAATAAAAAAATATGAAATAAATCTAAATTACCTTTTCTTTTTCTAGAATGACTGTAAATTGTAACTTAAAATTACATATGTTTATACTTAAATTTTATTGTTTTATTGCCCTTTGAACCATGTCTAACTAGTAATCTTACCACACAAGTTGTAAACCATTTGGTGAATGTGTAGTTCATGTTACCTTATCAAATTATTTAACGCATGGTAACTTGCAAGTTGCTTGTGAAAGTATCTCATGAAAATTTCTTCTTTTTATTATTTTTCGTTATTTTACCTATTCTGACCTAAAAAAGTTTCTAATTTTTATATTCTAGTTACTTTTATACTAATAGATAAATAAAGAACACACATGATGACACACAAGAAATATAGTACTTATCTACTTACCTGGGTCTATCGACAAAACTTAACCCTACTTTTTTATACTAATAGATAAATAAAGAACACACATGATGACACACAAGAAATATAGTACTTATCTACTTACCTGGGTCTATCGACGAAACTTAACCCTACTTTTTTATACTAATTGTACTACTGCACTAAATAATTTTTTTATTTCATGAAATAATAAACCAAAAAAAGACAGAATAATAAAGTGCAAAAAGCAGACAACTTTCCATAACTATCACAATTTTTCTGGCTTTCTGACTATGCAACAAGAGCCGTTAAAAATTTAGCTAAGCTCATCAATGTGTTTCCTTTGGGAATAAAGTACATAAAACAACATGATGCAATATGTCATTCAATAGATTAAAACTTTGGCTTTCTATTGGTTGTAAGTATTATAGTATTAAACTTCAGAAAGAACTATTGGCAATTTGTAAAAGAGAGAATGTGACAGGAGGGCATGGCAAGAAGAGTCTGATTTTTTAGTTTATTCTCTGTAATCAAATAAGATTGAAGGCTATAAAAATTATGTTTTGCCTGAGCAATATTATAATCAGTAATTATGTCAAATTTCATACTTCTCAGAGGGGTGGTAAATAAATTAGAGAAGAGAGGATACCTAGAGAGCAAATGTCACAATTCTCACATTACAATTTCTTTAAAAATGTATTTATAAAATTAAGAACTTAAAAGTTATATAATATTAAAATTTGCATTATTAGCTACATTGCGATGCCAAGTTTATTCATATTATGTGATAATAAAGTACTTTAATTAAACTTTGAATGTAACTTAGAAAACCTCATGACATCTACAGAAAAGGATGCCCATATGGAAAGAGTTAATATAGGTGATGAGTAGTAGTTTACAAATTTATCAAACTTTCACTTATTCTTTATTTCTTTAAATGTACATACCTGGATCAAGTAATGCAGAACAAAAACTACCTCGAAGCTTCTTTGAAATTCGTTTTCCATGAGACTTTTCTTGAACCAAAAGGCGAAAGAGATCATAACCCAATATTATTACACCTCCATCTTCTTGCCATTCATCAAGCTTATTGGCTCTGGTACGGTTATCTCGCACACTAGCAAGTTCATATACCTAAAGTTTGTAGAGAAACTATCATTTGCCAACTCTAGTAAATTATTATGTACACTGTTGTACTGCCTTTGCTACAAACATTTAAATGTCATTAGACAGTCATATCAGCAGCATTAAATTTAAATATCTAAACACTCCACATCATATCAAATTATTTCTTAAAAGTTATTTCATGAAATACAGCAAATTTTAAATGAAATTTTTAACCCTATGATGAACTTTACAGTATTGTTGAAGGACTGAGGTAACAGCTAATAAACTGCATGAAATAAAAATTTGTAGCAAGGTGAAAATGCTACAATAGATACAGAGTTTAGGGCACAGTCTCTTCACCATAAAGTTAAGTTCATTAACTGTCTCGCTACGATGTCAGTCAAATCAACCAACCTCATAACCATTTTGCACTCGTTAGTTTCCATGCTATAACTTTTAATACAGTATGTGTATCTTCACAAAAGTTGGCAGATTTTCAGTAAATGTTATGAGTCTCTTGAACATAAAAAATCAGATTTTTTAATAAAGTATTTTTGTAAATACTTGTCTGTGAATATATATAGTTTTTTTTACTACTCGGACTGTAAAGTGATTTACACGTTAAGATTAAAAATACTTTTCTTAGTCTCAAAAATCTCAAATTTCATTTCATAATCTCTAATAAAACTTCCTACATAAATTTAAAACATTTTTATTCAGTAAAACTTTATATTTTGTCCGTTATTTTCTCTACCTTAACTCTATTATGATTCTATACAAGGTTGTAACCACCCAAAGAAATCTAATTTACCTTTTTCTTTCTAGAATGACTTCATATTGTAGCATGAAATTACATTTGTTTATCCCAATTAGCTTTAGACTCTTAACAGTATTTCTTTATTCATACTTAAATTTTATTGTTTACTAGTGTACAGCCCTTCAGAATGAAGTACCCTCCCACCCCATAGTATACCTTAACCTCACAATTCATAGCTAACTCAAATAAAATTTGCAAAATCAAGCTTGACCAACAAAGAGGCAGAGAAGTGCAGTAGAGGCAGGCAAACATCAGTAAATCCCTTTGTGAGCCAATGAAAATTAAGATAATTCATGAACTGTGGCATATTCATAGAATAATCATTGGTAAAAATCAGTTATATTATCAACTTCTAATACATAGAAAATATAGTGCATTTTGGTAACACTATGTTCCAACAATGGTTTTATGTCATGTTGGTTAGCAACAAAAGTATAATGTTTTGTTTGTTTGTTTTGAATTTCGCACAAAGCTACACAAGGGCTATCTCCACTAGCTGTCCCTAATTTAGCAGTGTAAGACTAGAGGGAAGGCAGCTAGTCATCACAACCCACTGCCAACTCTTTGGCTACCCTCTTACCAATGAATAGTGGGATTGACCACCATATTATAATGCCTCCATGGCTGAAAGGGCGAGCATGTTTGGTGGGACGGGAATTTGAACCCGCGACCTGCAGAGTGTGAGTTGAGCTCCCTAACCACCTGGTCATGCCGGGCCAACGTATAATATAATATTGTTGTTAGTCTATGTTCTGAAAGTATAACATGAAATGTGTACATAATAAAACTGGAAAAATATTTGTATATTTCTTAATTTAGTGTGTTATTAAAGAGGATTGTTTTTTATTAAAAACGTAGGTGATACAACATAAAATGGCTTAATTCAGAAATGATTTAAGTTTAAAATTTAATAGATATTTTTACTTTCATGATACATTTTATGCACTTGGCTTTAAGCTAGGTGATCCCACCCTGCTTCTTTACTTCAGGTTCATTATACCAACACTCACTACACTTATTCTATTCTATCTGGATAAATGCATTTTGGCTTTTATGACTCCTCCCATTTCGAGAAATCAAGTGTGACGTGACACACACTGGTTTATATATATGTTAAATTCCCCTTTGAACCATGTCTAACTACTATTCCCACCATTATAAGTTTTTCATCACTTGCCAAATGTGTAGCTCACATCGGACTATCAAATTACATTATGCAAGAGCTACTCACGAGTGTACCTTGTGAAAATTTTTTATTATGTTATTATTACTTATTTTTCCTAATCTAACTTTAACAAACCTAAAAAGTTCCCTATTTTTACATTTTATGATAATAAATAATGATTACACATGAAAAACAATAAATAAAGTACATACCTGGGTCGTCGTCTTTTTTTCTGCTTTGACTGTTGATGACACTAAACCCTACTTTTTATACTAATGGTAGTATGCACTAATTAATTTTTTATTTAATTAAATATTACCTCAAAGAACACAGAATAATAACATGTAAAAAGCAGACAATGTCCTATAACTATCATAAGTTTTCTGGCTTTCTAACTATGTGACAAGAGCTGTTATTAATTCATCTAAGCTCATCGATGTGTTTCAAGTGGCATTAATGCTTGAACTGAAAACGAAATTGACAATTCTCTGTACAGAAAACAATGTAATATTATAGTCATTTGACAGAGTAAAACTCTAGATATATATTGGTTATAAAAAATATTGTATTGAACATCAGAGAAAATGATTGCCAATTCCTGAAAGAGAGGATATGATGGGTGGGTGTGGCAAGAAGAGTCTGATTTTCTATTTGATAGCTCTGTAACCAAAGATTGAAGGCTATAAAAATTATGCTTTACCTGAACGATGAAAATATTATACCGAGTAAATTACGTTAAATTTTGTACTTTGGGGAGGAATGGTAAATAAATTAGAGAAGAGGAGATGCCTGAAGAGAAAATGTCACAATTTTCACACTAGGGGAAATTCAGGATTTTTTTAAAATATGGATTATTAGCTACCTTTTTAAGCTATACTTGGTATAGCATGAAAAGAAAGTAGTTTAATTAACTTTCAAATGTAACTTACTAAAAACCTTGTGACATGTGCAGAAAGAGATGCTCATGGAAAGAGGGTTAAAGGCTAATGTTCAAAATAAAAACTAATCCTTTGTTTCAAGACTGCTAAAAATAACTACCACTTGTACTACTTGAGAGAGTAGTGAAAATTTTGAGGCAAAAATAAATTGTTGCTCTGGTAGGATTAACACGTCTGTGCACTATAAAACAACAAAGGGACATTGATGTTTTATGGGTCTTAAAAATACATCTAGTCACTCAGGATCTTTGTGGGTACATGAGTGTGTGTGTTTGGCATTTTTCTTCTGTGGGAAATGAACTTTTTATACAATTCTAACCTTCACATTTAAGCTATCCAAGGTTTATTTTAAAAAATATACAGTTTAATCCTCTGTTTCTCTATCAAGAAATATTACAGTTAATAGAATAGTTGTAAATGTCTGATACAGCAGTGGTTCATTAAATTAGCAAAATAAATACACGATCTGCTTGCAGATATTTTAAAGGTTAAATTAGGAAATGTTACAAAAGAAGTATGTAAACCATAAGATAGACCCAAAAAAATGTACACATTTGTGGTTATATTATTTGGTTATCAATGTATGAAGTGAAAAGTGCCTTTATCTTGAATTGTTATAAGCCGGCCTCATAATGATGATATTAATTATTTAATGAGCAAAAATTCACTTCAGAAATGCTTGTTGATTATGTCACTATTAACTGGATACACACATTGAACAATGCATATGCTTGAATAATGTTTTACGGACACAATTTATGAAGAAACAGAAAAAGTTGATGCAACCATAATTTTAAACATGTTTTTAATGAACATGCCATAGCATGTTTAGTAATCAATTTTTAAAATCACAAGTTTGTTTTTTCACTAGTCACCTACATAAAAATGAACTGAAATAGAACATTAAAATATCTCATATAATAACAATAAAAATCCTATCTTGACAAGGAGCATTATTATGGTACAGCCCTATATAGATAACTGGATGTTTATCCATAGATGGAGTAATTAATGTGTTAGGAAAGGTAAAGGAATTATTAATTATAAAATTATAAGTGAGCAGGAATTACTTTTACCTAGGATGGTGAATATGAATGTAAAATTTATATTATTTACTGACAGTTTTATCAATAGGATGTGCATAGTAATATCACATTTACCTAATCACTAGGATAAGTGATATTTACAAAAGGAATGCAAAATTACTCAACAGATGGACCAGATATTGTAAAGCAAAATTAATTCTGAAATCTTAAGACAAAAGTTTATGTTTTAAACTTTCAAAATCTAATTAAAAAATTATTTTTTTAGGTATAATATCACTAAATTATTCATATTATTTGACATCAATAAATAGCATTTAAACATAGAATAATATTTTTTGTTTCATATTATCAGTTTAACTTATCATTTCTTTTCAATATGGTTCTCTAACTGATATGATAGTTACATTCATATGAAGCTCATCATCTTCAAGCCACAAATTGAACTCCCTGTTCCAGTTAAGGATAGTATTGTATGGACACACCACCAGCACCTTCGAAAAGTAGTCCTTTGTGTACTGGTTATTAAGCAATGTGTGAACAAATGTTATAACCTGTAGGGTTTTCCCCAGCCCCATACAGTGTGCTAAGATGCATCCAGATCCTTTTCCAGATTTCAACTGTTCAAGAGATTCAACTGTACATTCCCACATAAACTTGACTCCTGCAAATAAAACATCAGTTAAAAACTAAAATAACCTGTATTTCTATTATTCTGTAAAAATGTATGCAATATTTAAGGTTCTATGAGCCTTGTTATTAATTATAATCTAACTTGTTTTATAAATATTTTCTAAGTTTTCTGAGCAGACTGAGGAAGGAATAATCAGATCAGGGAGAGGGATGCACAAGTGCAGTAGAAGAGGGTGTGAGAGGCAACCACATGATAGACATCCAAAGAGTGGAAAGAGTAGGTGAGGAGGAGGAGGAGGAAATGAGCCAGAGTAAAGAGATAGCACAAAAGGCAGAAAGCCAAGGGCTTGAATGAGGCATGAATCAGAACATGTTAACTCCATCAAGGTCTCAGTCAGGCATGGGGCAGGTAGAAGATGACAGAGGAAAAAGAAGGATCAGAACAGAATGGAAAAGGTAGGAGAATAAACCCTTGTAGTACTGGAAAAGGAAAAGTACATAGTAGAGGTAGAGACTGACAAGCCAATGATGAACGGTGAAGGAAAAAAATGGGGGAAGTTTGTCACAGAATGACTGCCAGGAGGAAAAGAATGGTGGAAAGATCAATGACAAAAGACCTGCCACAGTCACTGATAGAAAAAGGAAGCAGAAGAACTACAAGAGGTGTGACACTAAAACATAAAGTCCAGACTGATGGAAAGAAAGGAGAGTCTGAATGTGAGCAAATGAAAGCTAAGCTGGGCAAAGAGGTAGGAACAATGTGAATCAAGAAGGAAAGTAGTGTGTAAAGATAAGGGCAGAGGAAGTAGACAAGAAAAAGAATGGACATATAGTAAAAGGTGAAACCAGGCTAGGCTGAGAAAATCAACAGCGCCAAAAAATGAGGAACAGTGGACCATAAGGGAAGAAGCCTAGAGTTGTGAAGGATGATAAATATATCCAAAAATAGAGAGAAAAACCCCATGAAAGACCTGAAGTGTAGAGACCACTGGGGAGATATAATGTGGACTGGCCAAAAGAGGTGGTTTACCATTAAGATATAAGATCTCTGCAAATGGTAAAGAAGAAGATCAACCTGAGGTAAATGGGCCCAGAGTAGGGACCTGAGACATTAGTCTCTTGGATAATTGATGCAAGAAACAACCATGTAAAAGACTGAGTGGAATAGAGAAAGGGTTGAGCCCTTGAATGTGTGTGTTGGGGGGGGGGGGGGGCGACACACATGACCAGCATCAAAACTTCAAAAATCCTGCTCTCAACAGAGAGAGAAGTGTTGAGAAAGGGAGAGATCCTGTGTGAGAGGCAGTTAACAAGTGCAGGAAGCAGTCTGAGCACGGTCCAATTACCAAGACAATACCCCAAGGAGATGCTTGCAAAGGGGAAAATAGACCCAAAGAATGAAAAACATGGGTCTATAAGGTCCATAGTTGGAAACACATTTCAGCTTTCTCCAAAGGAATGAGGAATTCTAAGGAAGCCAAAGTCCCTGAAAGCAAATAACCTCCTGTGTAGTAATAGAATGAGAAGTATACAGCCCAAAGCCTGGTAGCCAGATATGTCATAGCTTGAAGACAAAAAAAGATAGGCTGAACATGAGAAGAAGAAATGTCCAAAAGAACCAAACGTTGAATGGGTGTGAGAAAGGAAGTAGATCTGAGGATAAGCCCCAACCAAGTAGCCATAGGAAGGAAACACCTGAAAATGGAGTAACAAAAGGAAATAGTTTGAGAAAAGGAATGCCAACCCCAGGCCATGAATATGGCAAGCGAAGACCACACAATGCCAAGAAATAAAAGAGGGGCTGATATTAAATCGAAGAGAAGAGCAAAAAATGGGAAAACCTGAAAAAGGAGGAGGAAATACAGAAAACAAAGAGAGGACAGGCTGTGGAAGATGTGAAGGAAGGTGGTAGATACATCAACCATGACCAACTGCAGGACAGGTGAAGACAACCTTAGATGGGGTCAGAAAGAGTTGAAAAAGAAATGGGAAGAGAAGATAACAAAAAGGACTGTTGGTGAATGCGAGACTAACATCAGGAGAAAAGACAGGTACCCAAATAAATGTATGTGTGTGATAGTCACTAATAAAATGAGTGATGAATTAGATGATCAGTAGAGGGAAAATGAGAAAAATAGGAAAGTTTGGAATTGGGAGTTGGAAGGTAAGAAGGAGAAATGCCTAGCTGAAGCATAGGAGCAAAGATCAGGGTCAAGAAAGAGAAAAACAAACCCTGGGAAGATATGACAGCAGTCAGTCACCAGGGATAAAAGAATACCACAGAAGACATCTGGGCAAAGAAAAGGGAGCCAGATCCCAACCCAAACAAGTCATAACAGTAGGGAAACAAAGAATGAAGGAATAAAGCAGAAAAAGTGGAACGGGATAAGCAGAGAAGAGAAGAAACACCTACAGAGTCCACCAGAAGCATGAAGAAGTGCCTCAGATAAAAGGCAGAATTAGAAAAGGAAATATAGGAGAATAGAGAGAAGAAGACAAATAAAAAGATAACAAATATGAAGATTTAGAAGTGAAAGAGAAGGTAAGGGACATAAAACTCAAGTAGCCAAAGACAGGGAAAAGGAAAGTCTACAAATCAGGACAAATAAGACATGACATTTAGGTCTGAGAAAAGAGCTATCAGAGAAAGAAAACAACATACTGCAAGGAGAAAAGAAAGTTAAACCCCATGAGCAGCAAGTGGAGAGGATGAGAAAATGAAGATAATAATAAAGAACACATGCAAAGGATAAGGAAAGGAACAAACCTGAGAAGGAAACCCAGAAATAACTGAAAGGTTAAGATTGTCTTACAAATGGTAAAACACTACCAGTGCAAATCAGGCAAAGAATATAGATCATTCTCAATTGTTGAGATCACAATTCCACCAACAGGACGGAAATAAGAGACCCATTAAGCATGTGGTGATCCACAAAAGGTTGATCAATGGCTGCAATGATCCTAATAATTAATGAGCCTCCAAAAGCCATGGACAAAATAAAGCCAAAGTGTGAACAATATTACCCACTCAGGACCAAATATCAATCAGCATCCTTTGAGAATTCATAATAATTAAAGCTTTTGAAATCAAAGCTCCATTAACATCACAAACCTTTGAAATTGAACACAGAATAAAAAAAATGTAAACTCATCTAGTTAATACAGTGCCAAGGAAAAGAATGAACTTCTCAAGTGCAAATGCACCAGGGGGTGTTGTTGCATATGAAGGTGTTTCACCTTCCTATTGGTGGATGGCACATGATTACATCATCACACAGTATCGTAATTTACATTAGATCACATAAGATTAGGTGGGATCTGCCTCAAGGCTAGTAGCATGCAAATCTCTAAAACAGATGTGCAGGGAAGATAGCTACACTGTGTGAAGAGGTGTGGTTTCATCTCGGAAATATGGGTTCTAAATTGTCTAGCAACACTATGAGAATAATGCACACTGGCTACAAAAAAAGAAATGTTGTTTATGTGCCTACAGAATATCATGTAGTTGTTGTTTAAGCTGAAGTAGGCCAAGTAACATGAAGCAGGTATCTCACAGCATAAACAAGTTAATCTAACAGAGAAGTCACTAAATTTGCATATAAGAAATTAATTTCACTATAACTATTGCAGCATCATGACATTACTCCAAATGAATAAACTGTATGTTACTAAAAGAAAACATTATATTACAAATTATGTATATTTGTACAAAATACTTATTAAAAATAAACAATGTAATATAATTCTCTGCAGAAGTACTTTAATTACAGAAACTGCACATAAAATGTTTTTAAGACCCTGGGAAAGAAGTTAATCAATCTGAAACAAACCAACCCTTTAATGAAATCCTTCCTTACCTTCTGACTGATGTGGTTTCAACTTTGAAGTCAGAATGGGGTGAACTTCTACGAGTTCTTTCTTTGTTTTGGGATCAATTTCTAGGATAAGTTTTTTTGTTACAGCATCTCTTGTTTTTTCATCTCCTTCACTCACTTGATTATACTGGAAAATGAGGAAAAATTAACTTCAAACAGATTTAATAGAAAATAATAAAATTGTGAATTTTTTTCTTCATAATAATATTTGTAGAATAATATATACACTTTGATCTTCACCAGAAACACTGTTGAATGCAATTGGCAGAGGTTAATATTTCCATGGAACATATTATAGCTTTCTAATAATATATTAACTTTGATCTTCACCAGAAACACTGTTGAATGCAGTTGTTGGCAGAGGTTAATATTTCCATGGAACATATTATAGCTTTCTAATAATATATTAACTTTGATCTTCACCAGAAACACTGTTGAATGCAGTTGGCAGAGGTTAATATTTCCATGGAACATATTATAGCTTTCTAATAATATATTAACTTTGATCTTCACC